CTGAGAGGCTGGCAAGTGAGGCAGCGAACGTTGGAGTCTGCAGCAAGCAAGCCTCGTGCTCGCTTCAGTGCCTGGCTGCCGGCCGCCATCTTGGCTGACAGTTAATTTGCATATACTCACTGATTAGCCAATGAAAAGGGTAGCGGTTGTACGCCAATTACCATGTTTCTCTTTTATTAGTGTAGATATATTTACAGTAAAAGTTCTCTAAGAAAATGAAATAAATATTCTACCCACAATAATTTTAAATTCCTTCATTTATTCAACAAAACTTTTTGGAGCCATTATATGTCCAGCATTGTTCTAGGCACTGGTCATATAAGAAACTTCATAGGACTTACATTATAGTGGGGGCAATAAGCACAAACCAGCAAATTAAGGTGTTAATCTATATAGTTACAGGTGCTGCAGATAGAACAATGTTAAGTGCAAGGCTGATGTAACTGGAGTGATCAGAGTGGCTTCCCTGAGGAAGTGGTATATGAGCATCAATGATAAGGAGGCAACTATACAGAAAGAAGGGCAGGGGGAAGAGCACAGACAGAGGCCCTGAGACAAGAGCAGGCAAAGTAGATGTGAGGAACTGAAAGAAGGCCAATGTGGTATGGAGGGAGTGAGGGGCAGAGGTAGAAGGTGAAGTCAAAGAAGCACACAGGAGCCAGATCAGATCATGTAGGGCTTGGAAGTTCAGGGTAAAGAGTTTGAACTGTATTCTAATTGTAATAAAAATCATTGAAGGGTTGTTCTAGATTTGGATCTAGAGACAAGAGTCCCTGGAGTGGCTTGCATCCATGTTGGCTATACAAGGAGAAAGCTTGTCCAAGAATGGAGCCAATATTGAAGATGCTGAATAGAGAAATGGAGAGAGATAAATCAGGTCCTGGGTCACACTATTTGAGCCCTGGATCAAGCTTTGCTTGAATTAGAAACTCTAAATTACCTTTTGATTAAACTAGTTTAGATTATGTTTTTCATCTCTGGCAAGCAAAGGAGCTTTAGTTTAT